CTTCTTACATAATTGCTAATCCTTATGATAATCCTCGTCATTAAAGGTCCTTTGTCAGGAAAGGCAGGGAACTGATACGGTACAAAGCAACAAATTTTAATACTGGCTTTAAATGTAAGATCTTAGCCAGGGGTATACTGTTAGCTGGAAATGTATTAAAAACTCTATGTGATGCTATTTTCTAGGCAGAGAGTCTATTTCCCTGTTAAACATTTTAAAGACTCCACAACCAGAAAATGGTTAAGAACCATGCTTTAAAGGATATATAGTTAAGCATTCGTATTTTCAAAGTCAAAGGAACAAAACACTCTCCACACAGAGCTACAGGTAGAAGGAGTAACTACCTCCATATCATTTAGAGGGAACCAAATTTATAATAAACAGTGTGATCATAAATAGTATGCATTTCTTAATTTACACCTGAAATTGGCCAAAAAGGATGTGGACACACAAGAAGGACAGCAATTTAATTAACAGAAGGTCTCTATAATCCCTCCCAGATTCTGAAACACTTTGCTACTTCTTTACTTCACCACGGCTAGCCACAGAATCAAAGCATCTTACACATTTAATGTTAGATAAGGTTTGAGGGATTTCTATTCCAACCTCATTTTTCAAACAAAAAAGACCTAGAATGTTCAAGTATCACACACAAGGTCACACAAGTGGCAACACCAGTTTAATAATCTTGATCTCCTGGCTGCTACCACACATGCTCATCACACTCCAAAAGTCTGAAATAAACTGGAAAAATAACACACTAATTTGAATTACTTAAGATGTCCTTTCTCGTGCAACAATACAAATGGTATTTCACTTCCCTTAACTCTAGATCTGTAAAGAAACAAACTTACTGGTCAGAACAACCCTTAGAGATTATATCCTGGACAAATGTTTGTGTACTTAGTCACCTTAAAAGGAACAGGCTTCTATGTTAGTAGAGTCATTTATTCTCATCATACCCAGAAGAATAAGTGTTCAAGGTTGTTTTCCATAGCAGAGCACATGCACCAATAATGGTCATCTAGCTAGGAAAATAAGCCAACTTTCTCCCTTAACATAATCCTTTCTTGAAAGAGGTAAAGGTTAAAATTTTGCAGTGAGCAGCTGAAAATTCACCATTAAGTACTGAGAAAAGTTTGGAGCAGATTAGATCCAAACAAGTTTGTCTGAAGGGAGGGAACTAAGGAAACGGATAAATCCGCCTAACTGATTTAACACTAAAGGAAGAACCTCAATTACGTAAACACTCTAAACTTCCAGAAAATTTTAACACAGTTAACTGGTCACTCATCCAATACCTTTAGGAAAATGCTGCCAACCAAACTTGGAGTGGGCTGAACCACATGAAATGACATTCAACCATTCCTGACCTCAAAATCAGCCATTTCCTATGCCTTAACCTAAATGAGGGTCACATCTCAAGAAAGAAAGATCACGAGGCTGTAGAAGTCCTACTAAGGCAATGCTCAAAATATTAACTTTTTAACCCTCAAACAGTGATCATGAAAAGTACTTTATTTAGTCCTTTATTTTTTTAAAGATTTTATTTATTTCTCTGAGAGAGAAAGAGAGAGAGCGCGAGCGCATGAGCCAGGGGAGGGGCAGAGAAGCAGACTCCCCTCTGAACAGGAAGCCTAAGGCAAGGCCAATCCCACAACTCTGGGATCATGAACTCTAGGATCATGGACTGAGCCCAAGGCAGACGCTTAACCAACTAAGCCACCCAGGTGCCCTATTCAGTCCTTTAAATAATGCATACATACACACACATACACACTCCCCATACTATTTTGCTACCCCACAGTATCTCTTTAATTCATTCCTTGTTATGTACAAGTCCCTCACTCCAATATACACTGAGGTAAATGAGAAAAATTAGAAAATTATTAAATGAGAAAAATTAGAAAGCATACTGTCACACTTTTAAAGTATAAAAAATTGCAGAACATATTACAGAACAAAATTCAAATTAAAGAAGTACAACTTGGGGGCATCTGGGTGACTCAGTCGCTAAGCGTCTTCCTTCGGATCCGGTCATGATCCCAGGGTTCTAGGATTGAGCCCCGTATAGGGCTCCCTGCTCAACGGGAAGCCTGCTTCTCCCTCTCCCACTCCCCCCTGCTTGTGCTCCCTCTCTTGCTGTGTCTCTATCAAATAAAGAAACAAAATCTTTTTTTTTTTAAACTATTAACTTCATTTTATTCCCACTTTAAAGGTTTTGATCCTATCTTTTTTTCTGTTTTTATAAACATATAATGTAATTTTATCCCCAGGGGTACAGGTCTGTGAATCGCCAGGTTTACACACTTCACAGCACTCACCATAGCACATACCCTCCCCAATGTCCATAATCCCACCCCCCTCTCCCATCCCCCTACCCCCAGCAACCCTCAGTTTGTTTTGTGAGATTAAGAGTCACTTATGGTTTGTCTCCCTCCTGATCCCATCTTGAGAAACAAAGTCTTTTTTTTTTTTAAACATTTTATTCATTTATTTGACAGAGAGAGAGTTCAGATGTAGGCAAAGAGGCAGGCAGAGAGAGAGAGAGAGAATGAAACAGGCTCCCTGCTGAGCAGAGAGCCCCAAGTGGGACTCGATCTCAGGACCCTGAGATCATGACCTGAGCTGAAGGCAGAGGCTTAACCCACAGAGCCACCCAGGCGCCCCAACCAAGTCTTTTTGAAAAAAAGGTACAACTTGATGAAGCGACCTGAAAGATAAGTTTAGCAGCAGATGTAGCTAAAATATGAAATTAAAGCTCCTGGAATTGGAATATTGTTTAACAATCAAGACAGCCAAGAATATAACCTAGTAATCATCATCATCATCATCATCATCATCATCATCATCATAAGATGGCAAGGAGAACTTCACCTGGAGAACTTTGTTCTAAGGCTTGGATGAAATCACAACCCGCTTGCAACACTCACTGGGCGTCATTGTTCTTACCTGATACTCCACTACTGTCCATTATTCTTTTCCCTCCAGAAAAAGTCAAGAAAGAATACACAAAACACTAATTCGCTCTTTCACCTCTCAACGATGCGGCAGAATGCGAAGGAACAATGACACTTTATTCTCCAAGGCGGTCCGGAGCTTAACCTCTAGCATCTCCGACTAAAGCGAATTACTCAAGGAGTCAGAAGACCCAAGAGTTCCTTCACAGCTGACTCAGAGGCAGAGAGAGAAGCGGCAATGGGCGGCACCGAAACAGGCCAGGAATGCGACCCACGGCGTCGCGGAACTTCCTGAGTGGAATACTACGTAGTCAGAGAAAGCCGGACAGAAGAACCAAAGTGCTGAAGTTACAACTCAACTCGCGGGGTGACCGTGAACCTGAACCCCAGGGCCGAGTCCGAGCTCCGCTCGCTGCCACACTCGGGCCCGAAGCCGCCCGCCACGCCCTGAGCTCCTCGGCCGCGAAGCCGCCGACCGAGAGGCGGCCCTCGGAATTGTTTTTGTCTTTGGTACGACAGGACGGGAACGTATCCAGACAAGTCGGGCCAGCCAGGGGCCGACAACCAGGCGACAACCATCCGCGCTGCAGAACCGCGCGGCGGAGAGGCCCGGGAGAACCAGCAGAGCCCGCCCACAGCCCGGCCCGCACCGGCCGCCGCCTTTACCGTTCCCGACGCGGCCCAGCAGACAGCGGCCACGGAGGCACAGAGAGCCCCGCCGCCCTCGTTATCGCCCGCAGACCCGCCTCACCTAGACTTGCCCACGCCACTCTCGCCGATGATGAGGATCTTCAGGGTGGTCAGCACGTCCTCGTCCATCCTGACGCCGCTCCGCTCTGAGCCCAGCCGGCCACCCCGTTCCGGTTCTCAACCCTTCACCGGAGAGAGGTGCCCGCGCATGCGCAGCGCTGCACGTCTGCCACCTTCCTTTCTCCCCGGGTGTTTAGGTTGCAGAAGTCCCGGTCGCCCCAGTTCCGCCTCGGGGAAGCTCTGCGTCTGCGCAAACTCAGTGTCCCAGGCGTCTTTCCGGAGAGCTTATTCATCCTCTACGCAAGCGCAGAAGGGAAGGGTCGCGTGTGATTTCGCCCTTTTGTAGGCGGTTACGCCTCCCCTGCCCTAAACTAACCCTCCTTCAGTGGTGTACTTGGAAAGGACCGAGCTGGCAGAGCATAACGCTCTTTTATTTCAGCAGCTGCTCGTAACAGGTGCAATGCAATAGGAAAAGCTTGTGCTTGAAGGCAGATGTCTTAAATTTAGGTCCCAATGCTACCTGATGAGGGATCGGAGCAGGAAAATATTCACCCTCAGACCAAAAGGCTGACCTGCGGCCTGCATAGTTGTTGTTTTTTTTTTTTTTAATATTTTATTTATTTATTTGAGAGAGAGAGAGACAGTGAAAGAGAGCATGAGCGAGGAGAAGGTCAGAGGAAGAAGCAGACTCCCCGTGGAGCTCGATCCCGGGACTCCAGGATCATGACCTGAGCTGAAGGCAGTTGGCAACTGAGCCACCCAGGCGCCCGCCTGCATAGTTTTGATAGGGTTCAGATATGTGCTGCTTGCTATAGTCTCACGACTACCTGTATGTCTTACTGGTGGCTAATACTGAACTGAATGATAAGCACCAGAGAAATCTTATAATAGTAGTTCCAGGAATAGAAACAGGAAGAAAACATTTATGATCTAGTATTCTCTGCTCGTCTCTCCTCCCCCTGGAGCACTAAGCATATAACCACCAGCATCATACAGCAAAGAGTACAGCCCTTTCTGCTCACGGGTCCTGTCCCCATGCTACTTAAATAAACTCCTTGCGCTGCACCATACAACTCCTCAAGAATTCTCTCTTGACTGTTGTGCTCAGAAACGCCACACCATACCATACAACCATGTTACATTATCTAGGCTTCTGAGCCTATTTCCTGTCTCACAAAGCCAATAATACTTCTTAGAATAATAGTGACTTAAAATTGTTACGAAGATTAAATGAGATAATTAGTGAACACACTTTGTAAACTCAAGTGCTCTGTAAAAGGTGCGATCGGGTGTTATTAACCTCCTGGCTTAGCTTCTGTTAGGTTAAAGACTAGTACCTGTCACATGTCAGTTCACTGTGGAAGGGAGATGTAAATGTCAGATCAGGTGCATACAAACCTCTGTTGGTGCAACTTCAAGCCAACTACTGCTCCTCATTAGAACTGCTGCCCCTATAACTGCAGGAATTGTAGGTACGTGCTTTGTCTTCTTCACTAATCTGCAAATCTTCGTGAAAGTACCAACCCTCACATATGTTAGCAAAGTGCCTGGTACATGGGACACTAAATGAACATTAGCTCTCAAATCTTATTTTCTTTTTTTTTTTAAGATTTTATTTATTTGACAGACAGAGATCACAAGTAGGCAGAGAGGCAGGCAGAGAGAGAGGAAGGGAAGCAGGCTCCCTGCTGAGCAGAAAGCCGGATGTGGGGCTCGATCCCAGGACCCTAGGATCATGACCCAAATCGAAGGCAGAGGCTTTAACCCACTGAGCTACCCAGGCACCCCCAAATCTTGTTTTCTTAATACTTGCAGCTAATGCCAGATACAATAGATATCTCATTAGAGAATATATAAATAGAATTTAGAATAAATTTAAAAACTAATTTTTTCAAATACCTAGAAAAGCTTTTCTGCCAGACAACCAAATGGATCCCTCGCTTCCTTCAGGTCGTTGCTGGAATGTTGCCTTTGCTCAAATGAGTCCTTCTCTGTCCCTACTACTGAAATGTGCAAATCCTTCCAACAATCCCTATACCTCTTTGCATTATTCTGCAGAGTCCTTACCATGCTCCTGTGCCCTATATATTTTACTATTTTGTTGACTACATAGTCTTACCCAATAGAAAGGAAGCTTCATGAAGGCGATTTTTGTCTGTTTATTGTTATATCTTTTGCATCTGAAAGTTACTGGCATAGAATATGTGCTAAATAAATATTTGGGTTTATTTAAAAGATTTATTTATTTGTGAGAGAAGAGTATGTGCATGAGTGGGGGGAGGGGGATACAGAGGGAGAGGAGGGTGTGGGAGAGAGAATCCCAGATTCCATGCTGAGCACCGAGTCCAACATAGGACTTGATCTCAGGACCCCACAACCATGACCTGAGCCAAAACCAAGAGTCCCACACTCAACCGACTGAGCCACCCAGGCACCCCTAAATAAATATTTGTTGAATGAATTCACTGAATGAACATTCTTGAATCCATTCCTAACTTTGGAAGGTAGTATCAACCCGGTAACCTCAACCTCTCACAAAATAGCCCTTGAAAACTCAGTCGACTCTATCTGCCTTAATTTTGACTATAGTATCAAGAGTTTATTTGTGAAGCTCACAGTATTGTCAAGCTTTCCACTCTGGGGCAGTTAAATATAATCCTCAGAGCCCTAGAGGTCCCTCTCAAGGAGTCTGCGAAGCAGTCAAACTATTTTCATAATTATTTAGGATGTTATTTACTTATTTAGTTGGTTGAGCCTTTGCCTTCGGACTCAGGTCATGATCTCAGGGTCCTGGGATGGAGCCCTGCCATTGCCATCGGGCTTTCTGCTCAACGGGGAGCCTGCTTCCCCCTCTCAGCCTGCTTCCCCACCTCCCTGCCTACTTGTGATCTCTATCTGTCAAATAAACAAATAAAATCTTAAAAAAAAAAAAAAGATGTTACTTACTTTTCTCGCTCTTGCTCTCTCATGATAATACAATAGAATTTTCCAGAGGCTACACAAAACGTGTGACAGCAAAACAGACTGAAGACAGACCAGATAGGAGAATCCAGCTGTTTTCTATTAAGCCAGACATTAAAGAGATTTGCCAAAATGTAAAATAATGCCACTGTCCTAAGTTTTTTGTTTTAAAATAGTTATTTTTATAAACACATTAACTAGTAATCAATCGGTTTATTATTTGTTAATTAATATGTTTAAAGTTTTGTTTTAATTTCTAGTGGAGTAAATATTAATAGATATAGCCACAAAATCAGCTCTGAGTGCTCAATAACTTGTAAGAGTGTGCAATCATTTGTACAACCAAAAAGTTTGAGAACTGTTGCACTATAGTATTCACACCAAGGTAAAAACCAAAAACCTTCTCATAAATAACAGGCCTGGATTAATTGATATTGTATGTAACATCGTTGACCTACTGAGGCAACACCATGTTTTCTTAGATATCCTCCGACCTCTGGGCCAGTTTTCAGGTTTGTTTGTTGTTTTTTTTAATGACATCCTCTTGCTTGTCTTTTAAACATTTTTGTCCCCTGGGTTTTAGGATTTGGGTCTGGTTTTATCTATTTACTTTACACACACTTCTTACTCTACGCTACTCTACACATACACTGTCTTCTGGGACTTAGACAGCTTCCTTATCCCACTTGCTTGGAGTAGTCCCGAAGTTACATCTCTGGCCGAGATTTCTGTCCTGAGATTTAGGCCAGTGTACACAGCTGCCACGACATATCCACATGGGTCTACCCAGGTGCAGAATACCAAGCTAAACACGCCTGACACCAAATGCATTATCTTCTCCTCCAGACTAGCTTTTTCTCCTGATTTTCTTCTTCTTCTTCTTCTTTTTTTAAAGATTTTATATATTTATTTGACAAATACAGGTCACAAATAGGCAGAGAGGCAGGCAGAGAGAGAGAGAGAGAGAGAGAGAGAGAGGAGGAAGCAGGCTCCCTGCTGAGCAGAGAGTCCGATGTGGGCCTCGATCCCAGGACCCTGGAATCATGACCCAAGCCGAAGGTAGAGGCTTTAACCCACTGAGCCACCCAGGCGCTTCACTCCTGATTTTCTTCTTATGACATCTGTTTAGCTAGCATCTGTTTAACTCTCTCTCTCTCTTTCCCTCACTCCCTACACCCACTTAGTCCTCGCAGTTCTACCATAAGCATCCTTGAAATTTATCCACTTTTTCATCTCCACCACTGCTCTGATTAGGTCATCCTCAACTTTTTGCTGGATTACCTACCATTATCAGCAGCCCAGCTGGCCTGCCTGCCTCTGCTCTCCTGTCCCCTCAGGCTCTCCTCCTGCAAGCAATGTGGTATTCCCCAAATATGAATCTAATGTAGTCACTCAGCCTTCAGTCCACTCCTCACTGCCCTCACAAGTGTTTATTATCTTATCATAAGCCCTGATTGTCCCTCCAACCTCATCTCTTGCTTTCCCATGCCTTGTACTTTGTGTTCCAGCCAAATTAAACGCCCTTCGTATTTTCAACAAACCAAATTTTGCTTGTCTCCAGGACCCTGCACGTGTTGTTCCTTCTGCCTGGAAGTAATCTCCTGTCCCCCATTCCCCACCCCATCACTGCACATGCACTCATGCGCACTTTCACATGGGCAACTTCTACTCATTCCCCATGTTCCTGTTTTGGGATCCCTTTCTCTGGGACAACTTCTGTGGCCTCCCAGGTTGGCATTACATGTTCCTCTTATGTGTTCTGATAGTGCCTACACATCTATTGTGATGTGCACTCCACGGTGTTATAATTGTGTTGAATTGTTTGTTCCCTGGTCAGAACGTGCGTTACTGGAAAGCACTGACTGCTGTCCTTCATTGTTCCATCTTCAACATCTAGTATAATGTCTAGCATAGAGGCATAGAGTAGTTGCTCCAGAAAAATTATCAATAGAAAAACCCCAATTCAACCTTAGGAAATTGGAATGATGTAAATCTGCTTGTTAGTTTCTTTTTATGTAAATTGGGATGTCTCTTAACTATCTTGAATATGAGGGAGAAACCTCAGTAACTCTTAATGCACAACGACTACCAAGTAGTCCTAGAAAGGAAGCCAGCATTCATGCACAGATAAGCCAAAGTAGCATTGTGTGTGTGTGTGTGTGTGTGTGTGTGTGTGTGCGCGCGCGCGCACGCGGGCTAAATGACCGATACGGACAATACATGTTCTGGAAAGTCAGATCAGAGCAACTGGACACTGAAACTTAGAACAGAAAAGGCTTCAGGAAGAAAGCAGACCATGACAAAATGTAGAATTTAGATCAGTACAAGTAAGGGAGCAACATTTCAGGCATAATGAATTCAGTATAAACAGAGGCATTGGGATGGTAGGTAAATAGAATCTTGTAGACGGATAAATCTAGCAATGTATAGGAAGTATTCAGTAAAGGATGAGAATATGGTGGTGGCAGGAGGCCTGGAAAAGGAAGGCTGTCTACAAAAGACACAAGGGATAATTGCAAGAGGCAATTGGTGAAGGGCAAGGAGAAGAAAGGGAAGAGAAAAATATCAAGCATTTGTCTAATATTTGAAGTTTTAGTACTTACCCATAAGAAGGAAAAGGCAGAAAGAGGGAGGAAAATGAATTAGGTTTCAACCATGGTGAATTTCATATGAAGGTGGGCCTTGACACCAAAGTTTTCTGAACCCTTTTAGAGCTGTGGTTCTGAAATTCAGGGCAGATTCCAAGACCCCAAAACAGAACAATCAGGTCAATGACATTCTCAACCAACGATTTGGCCTGGGTGCCCTATTCCGCATATACACTATTATGCTTAAATCTCTGGAAAAAGAATCATTCTTGCTTAGGCTTCAGACATACCTTATTATGGTTTCACACTAATATTAATTCTTTCTGCCATATTCAAAAAATATGATCAGCTCAATCAAAGGCAAGATGCTTAAGACCTTGAGATGACCTATGAGGAAGCTCAGTATGGAGGGGAAGGGGTTGTAAGTATGAAACCACTTGGAAGTGTGAATGGGAAGGCCTTCTGAGTCTGTGCTGACCACAACATGCCCCCAGCATGTCGCCAGAAAGGGACAACAGAGTAGGAAAAAGATCACATTCGGGCCGTTGACTTTTCTGCAACTTTTTGCTATGACTCTCAGCATCGAGGTGGAGAGAAGAGAAATGCCGCTTGCAAAACGTGCACACTCCAACAGGCACCAACACGAGCACTGTGAGTCATGGTTTGCACAGGGCTGCTATGTCCAAGTACAATAGGCCTTTGTGGCTGGAGTTCAGGTGCTACTGGTGCAGTCACACATCATCCCTTTCCACTCTCCCTCCTCCCCCAAACTCCATTTGTCCCTGGCTGAGCAGAGTTTCTCAAATCAGCTGCACCCTCTGGGTATTTCCTTGTCTCCATCGATGCACAGGAACTTTGGTCTGTAGCCCTATACTGAGAGGGGTCAGGGTCAAGAG